ACAAAAAACCAAAAAACAGAAAACCACATCAATGCCAAACGAACCCTTAGCTTCTTTTTTTGTTTTTTTTTTTAAGTTAGAGGGAATTTTAAATTTCCCAAATTCAAAATTTTTGTGAAATTTTGGGGGGGAAAAGAAACCCCTCAAAAAAAAAATCTGATTTCCCCTCCATATTTGCAAGTGGGGGGGGGGGGGGGGGGCAACTTTATCTCTCCACTCACTTTAATTAACTCCCTTAACTCCCTTTAATATTTTCCCTCCATCTTTTGCCTTAGTAACCGTAAACATGAGCAAAGTTGCACATAACTATTAACGGAGGGAGTATTTCACTATCTATAGAAATATACTAAATTGATTTTTCCCCTACAAAAGTATTATAATCTCGACCATTTCCTTCTTCTAGTTTATTTATTGCTTTTTTTTTTTCATTTGGTTGGTTAGTTTGCTATTCAAGCTTATCTAATCACACTTGTTACACTAATGATTATAAATATAGGTAGTAATTTGCTTCTTGTGTGTTTTTTTAGGAGCTTACTTAGGTAAAATATACCAAAAATATAATAATAATAATTACCAAAAATATAAGGAAATTTTGACTTTTCCCACCAAAAACTTTGGACAAATTGTTTTTTACCACCTAGTATTTTAAAAGATGTATTGTACCACCAAATAATGTTCTAAAAATTGTTTTTCACCACCTACAGTTAAGAAAACCGTTAAATGTAACGGTGTTAAAAAACATTCTTCGATTTTCGTGCCCGAAATAAGTTTTTTATAGGTTTAGGGGGGGCATTTTGGGCCTACGGGGCCAATTTGAGGTCAAAATTGATAAAAAAAAAAGATCGGAAATACCTCGTATTACGTGTTCACGTAATTCGATGTATTTTTAAACACGCAAAACGATGTATTTTTGATCATTTTTTATCAATTTTGACCTCAAAATGGTACCCGTAGGGTCAAAATGCCCCCCTAAACCTATGAAGAACATATTTTGGGCACGAAAATCGAAGAATTTTAAAAAACTTCCGTTAGATTTAACGGTTTTCTAAACGGTAAGTGGTAAAAAATAATTTTTTGAGTTTTATTTGGTGGTAAAATACAACTTTTAAAATAGTAGGTGGTAAAAAACAGTCCAAATTTTTTGGTGGTAAAAGTCAAAATTTCCAAAATATAAATTTTGCTAAAATCTAGAATTTAGGTAGCCGAGTCGGTGATGCAAATACAATAATGTTTACCAAAAATATAAATTTTGCTTCCTTGATGATCAAATATATATGATTAGGTCGGTTTCTAAAACCAATGTTAGGTAGTTATAACCCATCTTAGGTCGATTTTTCACTATTATAAATATATATATATATGTGATTAAATTATTATCTTGGATTAAGTTACCCATCTTAGGTCGGTTTCTCACAAAGACTAGACGAATCTTCTTAATTTTATTCCGTCTAGTCTTAGTAGTATTTTAGAGGAGGAAATTAGAGGCCAGGGTGACTTTCTCACGTCTAATCCCTCCTTAGTTTGTTTTTTGCTTGTTTGTTTTCTTACTCCTTGCCTTTGCCTTATTTGAATAAAAAAAATAAAAATAAAAATAAATAAAAAAATGTTTAGGAGAAAAACTTCTTTGATTTGAAACAAAAAAAATTCAATCAATTTTGAGGGACAAATTAAAAAGTTGTCTAAGGAAAATCTAATAATTTGTTATCATGGATTACAAAATAGTAAGGTGTTTCACATATTTGTAGGTATTTCACAATTTGTAATATAGGAATTTCACATATTTTTACACACATCTAACCTTAAACATATGGCTTGAACAGTGCCACTTAATCAGATAATTGAAACTATTATTCTAGATAACATAACAAAAAAAAAATTTGATATGTTAAGCTAGAATATGCCACTAACTAGATTTAGAGCTGTCAAAAGCTGACCCGATCCAAAATACCGACCCTAACCCGACCTATTAATTGACCCGTCTGAATCCGAAAAAATAGTGACCCGAACCCGACCTAACCCGACCTGGAACCAACCCTAGACCCGAGTTGACCCGAGTATTTGAGACCCGAACCCGAACATTAACCGACATAGAGACGACCCGACTCGAATGTAACCCGTAAGTTATTGACCTGAATCGAACCCCACCTGAACCGAAATTGACCCAAACCCGTTTTAACCCGTTAAAACCGGAATTCAACCCGACATGTTCCTAACCCGACCTATTCCTAACCCGACCCGAATTTAACCTGACCTGCTACAAACCCGACTCGAATTTCAAGTAACCCGACCTGTTACAAACCCGATCCGACTCAACCCGACTGGTTATTGACATGACCCAAATTCAACTCGACTTGTTATTGAATCAATATGTATAGGTCGTTATCTCATGTTGGTATTGGAACGGAAATTGAATCCTAACTCTATTCCTTCAATATTTCACTTTGAATTTTAAGAGGTTAGTTTCACAACATGTGTTTAGGGACGAATTTCAGGGATGAAACATGTTTTCCGCAAATTATTGACTTAAACCGAACCCGAGAATGACCTGACTTGGGAATGACCCGATTTGATTATAACCCGTAAATTATTGACTTGAACCGAACCCGAGAATGACCCAACCTGATTATAATTCGTAAATAATTGACTTGAACCGAACCCGACTCGAACCCGAGAACGACTTTAACTCGTTTAAACCTGTAAAAACCCGAATTTAACCCGAACTATTTTTCACCCGATCCGAATGTAACCCGACCTTTTACTAACCCGACTTAAACCCGATAAGATGTATGACCCGACGTGTGACCCGACTCAAGCATGACCCAACCCGAACCCGACCCGCATATGTTATGACATTAACCCATATTGACCCGACCCGAGATGATCCGAATCACACTAACCCGACCCGAGATGACCCGAATCACACTAACCCGACTCAAACCCGATCCGTTTACCCGAATTGACAGCTCTAACTGGATTATTGATATTATTCTTGCTTAGAAAATAAATATTGCCACTCATGGCTTGAACAATGCCACTTGTTATTAAAAAAGGTTTTTTCAAGGCTTTCCAAAGAAGCATAGAGATTTCCCCAATTTAGTGTTTCAACCCTTAACAGGTCGTCTTTACATCTAGGCCCCGTTTGGTAACCTTGTTTGATTTGGTGTCAAATGATTTTAACAGAAAATGATATTTCCATTATCTCCCCCTTTTTTTTTTTGGGTTTGTGAAGTGGTGAAAAATAATTTCCTAATAGTAAAAAATTGCAGCCATAATGGTGAAAAACATTTTCCTTTCCAAAATAAGGGAAGACACATTTTCCTCCTTTCTCCTTACATACTTTTTACTTTCCTCTCTTCCATCTAATCCCCACATTTCCAATCCTATTTTTGATTTCATTTTAATTTTTCTTGTAAGAACCAAACAATGAAAACTATCTTACAAGTGTGGTTTTACTTGAAAATATGTTTTCCATTGAAAATATTTTAAACCAAACGGGGCCAATGTAAGACATTTTCAATAAAAAAAAAAAAAATAGTTTTCATGGAAAAAATATTTTCAAGAAAAATCACAATTGTAAATTATTTTTTACTTTGTATGGTTACTTACAAGAATAGGTACAGAGAAATTAAAAATAGGAGTAGAAAGGTGACACTGGATGAGAGGAATGTAAAACAAAAGTAGGAAGAAGAGGAAAATGTAGCTTTTCTTACTTCACAAAGGAAAATGTTTTCCACCATAAAGGGTGTAATTTACCACAATTGGAAAAATTGTTTTTCAACCTTTCACAAACCAAAAAAAAAAGGAAATCGGAGAATATGGGAAAACGATATCATCCATTAAAACATTCCTTAATTGAAGAGATTTCCAATGATTCTTATCATGGACCTGAAACATAATAATATAAGTCTATAAGCAAAGAATAGACGATTAAATTAAAATGTCATTTGGAGTCGACTCATTGGTGAAGGAGAATTCAAACCAATTTTCCAATGGTAAATTGATGAGGCGGTAAAATAAGATTAAAAAGGGTTAATTTGTGACTTGAAATATAGTAGGCTTGTCTTTGAATGCAGACATCTTTCAAACTTTAATTTATTTTGAGGTGATTTAAGTTGTAGGTGTTGGCTTATTTGGATAGATTTTCAATGGTAGGTCATTTGCCCAATTCCGATAAGAATTGAGAAAATTACGATCATTTTACGAAGAATTGACGATGTTGGAAATTAGCTAATGAATGACTAGACCATGCACGAGTCTGTAGTTTCAATGTTTTATTCTCCGTCCGACGGTCATATTTATGCTTATTTGAGCTCTACGGAGCTATTTTTATTACTAATCTACGTGTTCTAGTATTTTTGTAGAGTTGATATTATTTTATAGGAATTTGCAGATTTATGACAATTCCTAAGCTTATTGAACCACTGCAAAGATATTGGAGTTTGATCTTATTTTATGACCGTATATTTGAAGCCGAAGGCTGAGCTAATTAAATTAGGTTCGATGACTAAGGACTCGACTAGTTAAGGAGTCCCAAGGTTTAAAAGCTAGTATGTGGAGTACGAACCAACCGATAAAGCAAATAAAGGATTAAAGAGCTCAAGTCCAAGAAAGAAGCCCAAATAATATCACAACAGGTCCGCTGAACATAAAAAGGCGGGCCCGATATAATTTTTTTAATTACCTATCGGTTTTTTTTTTTTTAATTTTTGTTAGGAGCTTAAAATTTACCAAAAATATAATAATACTTAAAATTTAGCTAGCATAATAATCCAATTTAGAATAGAATTCAAGTATCCATACGTGATGATCAAGTATATGGTATCTAAAACAATGTTAGGTCGGTTTCTCAGTAATAATATAAATACATATGATTATCTTTGTTTCAAAAAAACATATGTGTGATTAGCTTTGTACGAGTATTAGTTTACCAGAGAATTGAAACTTGTTTGATTTGAAACAAAAAATTCAATCAAAATTGAGAGAAATTGTCATCTGGTAAGATGGATGTTTACAATAATAGTAAGGTGTTTGACGTGTTTTATGACATGTTAAAGATGATACGAGAATCCGGCCGTCGAAACCCCGAGGCGGCTTCTACGGTGGTCCGTGATGGAGAGCAGTACGAGCAGATGTCTAATTTACAAAACATGGAGATACCCTTCAGTGGTGAAGAATGTTTCGGACAATATGTCGATTTACACGAGTTTTATAACAGGTATATTAATTCTAAATTCGGTCACCCTATCAATTATGTGGTTTTTCTTGATAGTTTTCCTACAATTGATATGATTCCTTCCAAATACAAGGCAACTGCACAATACAAGGACTATATGGAGGGTGTGCTCGCGTACTTGGTGTCTTTCTTGGATCGTACCAAGCCCCTGATGTTCCTAGACAGAGTGTTTAAGATCGTCGAATCTGAGTTTGAGGCGCGTTGGACAGTTGAAAGAGGTAAAAAGCGGCCTAGGACAACGACTACTGTCGATGATGTTATCGAGCAGTTTGATGCATATGACACGGTTGAGAGTCTAATTGAGATCAAGGACAATAGTCACAAGCCAAAATTGACTGAAATATGAACAATAAGTCAACAATGCAATAGATTAGAAGACTTATAAGAAACATACGCTAGTATGAATACAGGGAATCTGTGTTGAAGCACAAGTGAAGCAAACATTCATGGCAAGGCAGAGTAACAAAGTTAGATAGCTTACACTACTTCAGCAAAGGAAGCAATTAAGAGGAGGATATTTGCTATAGTAACTTATTGATAGATTGAAAATTATCTACCTTTAATTTAAGTGTATTTAGTGTTATGAGATAACTACAATTTCCGTAATATACATTGAGATGCAGTTTGTAACCATGAACATGTAAATGCTTTTAGGATAAGGATAATAACCCCAAAGGCTATTAATACTTACAAAGTTTTGATGCTACAGATTTCTGGTGCTGCTTTCCTGAAGAGTTTTTCAGCGTCATTATTGAAGGTTGTTCCAGATTTCTGTTCCAGTGCCATTAGAAGCTTCAAACTTAAAGGTCACCCTTGCAACAGACATAATAACAGCGTATTAGTGTTGCGATACTACTTTAAAAGTTTATAAGTGCAAAAGAAAAAGTGTACCTGTAAGATGATATGTAGTCTGCAATTAAAAAAACATATCTGCACTGCAACAATGAATAGAGAACAGAGTAAGACAGGAAGTTAAACATCAGCCCAACAAATGAAATTGAGAATCATAATACAACTTTGACGTGAACAAAGAATTTGCAAACAGCAAACTTAAAAGGACCAAGCAAAATAAATATAATCTCTTCCTGTAAAATCATTGCAGGCTCAAATACCGGGGGTCAGTGGCTGACGTTGTTGACCATGCATAGCTATTAGCTACAACAGGCCGTAGCTCTTCTTTCACAAAAAGCACCACTGCAACAATGTCTGCAATATTACAGTTCAAAATAAGGTCACGGAGCAGAAAGTACAACATAATGTAGATGAGATTTAAAGTGTTAAGAGAAAAAATGCAAGTTTGTATACCAAATTTTCATTCCAAGGCACGGGGAATGGAAGAGAGTGGCTGATACTGTGGTCCTAGATGACCTGTGTTGGCTGTTTATGCAATTATTTGCTCTATGACAGTTTTTTTGGTCTACATTACGCTGATAAGGAAGCACTTCTAACTTTCTAAGTTGGTTTTGTACTGCTCATCTATTTCACTGACGGGGGCATTAGAGGCTTTATATTCTCCCTTGTGCTGAATAACTTCATATTCTCTCTATCAATCCTCTCAGACCACCTCTATGATTTTCTATCTATAACAACATTGATTAGGAATCAATTGACTAAAAAAATAAAGTTAGTAAACAATAGAACAGATTAGGTAGTTGGTATTCTATCCTGCAAAATAAAGGAAGTACTCAGTATATTTGCTGAGATCAGAGCAAAATATATAAATCTAGAATCCTACTTCAAGAACCAACTAATGGTTATAATGAACAGGTAAGTGGATAGCACACAATATGCAGCAACACAACTTAGAATGATGAGGAAGGCCTGTAATCTGGATATGCCTCCTTTCACCCTTGTTTCCTTCTCAATTCTCATGTAGAGCTCTGCAATGACAGTCGAAACAAGGGTGAAAGGAGGCATATCCAGATTGCAGAGCTTTCGGCGCAAATGAATCCACAAAATGCTCCCTAAAATCCGCAACAACGTAACGACGATGAAGAACACGGATCGGCATCGCAACAATGGCGCAAGAGGAAATGGAGGAGAGAGAAAATGGAAGCTTTGGGGGTGGGGCTGGCTGGCTGGTTCCGGGGGTCAGGAATTAGAGGTCAAGAACGGCCGGCCATTTTAGATGATCAAGGGGGGTTAGGGTTAGGGTTCCGGCGAGGTAAGGGTTGTTGATTGGCTGCTGCTTGGATTTGGTGGGATGGAGCAGGGGATTGCGGTGTAGGTTAGGAGTTGGAGTGGTGGAGTTTTAGGCATCAGTCAGCATTTTCATTTTATTTTTAAATTTTGGACCAATCATGTGTTAACACATGTCATGATAACCTGTTATAACATGTAAGCGGAATTATAAAATAATAATAAACCTTAGTTGAGATTATTAAAAATAAATCGCCTACAGTTTTTTCGGTGTTTAGAGAGCCAGAGGAAAACTTTAATCACTTTAGTCATCGCTCACTCTCGTAAATCGCATATAGTTTGGATTATTAAACTCTATTTTCCCTAGAAAATTCTTAAAAGGATCTTGCTAACAAGCGTCCCGGGTGTTAGATAAGCAATAATTATATTGGTTGAAATGATATTAAGTTAGGAATGCATGATAAAATTACCCGTCATTCGGTGTCATGAAAGCAAAATCTTTCATCACACTTGTCAATACAAAAATTTTGTGCCTTTTATTTTTTTTATTTTTTTTTTTTGCAAAATCTTTAAGTCAACTATTTATACTTTATGACATTTTCTTTTCAATTTGACAATCATATTCCATATACTTCCAACTGAAATAAATATGAATATGTTTTATATATTTTATATTTTGTAATAGTATTGTCAAAAGTATTTGACAACCGTACATTGAATGAGATTTTAACCTAGCACATCTCTATCCTCATAGACATTGCATTTAACGGGATGCATTATATTGGTGTAGTTGTATTGTTGTCATCTTTGTTGTAAATATAATACTCCATATTATAAATAATCTATTACATAATATAAGAGTCAATTCACCACAACCTTCCAAAAGGCCAATTATCATTTTTTTTTTTTTTTTGCTGTAACTTCCGCCTCGATCTCCTCTTTTTTTTTTCATAACTTCCACATCTCCCATTATTTTCTTTTTAAATATTCATGATACGTATACAGTATATCATACCATTAACATTTGTAGCAGAAATTATACTTTATATTACTAAAGTTTTCTGTGAGGTTGAAAAGTGATGCTTTAAAGTAATTTCTCTAATAATTACGTCTAACAAATAAAAGTGATGTTTTAAAGTAATTTCTTTAATATCAATAATATGAATCAATTTTATTCTCTCAAAAAAATATATGAATCAATTTTATCACGAAGAATTACTTTATTAGCAAAATCTTTTCTATGGGGTTGGAATAATATTTTAGGTAAATGTGTATGGAAGAATTATGAACACCAAATAAAAAATAATATTTTTGTCATAAACATAAAATGAAAGATTTAGAATGATATTATTATAATTGTATAAAATATTCACACGCAAATAAAAAGTAATGTCTTCTAATTCCTCTGGCGCTTCATCATCATCAGAGACATCATTATCATCATCCATTACAAAATTGGCATCAATTGCACGTAGTCTTTGATGCTAGTTGAGTATCCCTAGGAGGTCCCTCAAGGACTTTTGATTGGCAGCAAAAATCCCTTCAGGGACTCTCCCTTAACTCGACACAGTAGGGCTTTCATCAGCAGGTTGACTAATCTGAGAAGTCTTAAATTCAACCTCCATCAACTCCTCTGAATTCGATTGATCTTGACCAAAGATCAAGTGCGTAATTGATAAATCACATTTATACAGAATTTATAGGCACGTTTATAGCAGCTTTTTAGGTTTTTTTGTTGCTTTTTAGGACGCAAATGCATAAGTTGTTTGTTTTGTGCTCTATTACGCCCCGTTTGCGTTTTCTTAATGTTTCAGATAGTTTCTATAGCTATTTGGACGCTTTCGGAGTGATTTTGGAAGAATCGGACAATGAAAAGATAAAAATGTTGATGAATTGAGATCGATCAATGAAGGATATGAGTTTGTGGAAGCTGATTATGAGATTTATATGCATGAGGAATGAATATAGCATTCACAAGGGTCGCTATGCATCTTTCATAAATGAATTTGAGTTAGAAACGAAGTTAGACGATATTTTACAAAGTGGCAAAACTGACCTTTGTCAACTCTTTTGATCATAACTTGAGTTCTACAGATCGGATTGATGCGATTCAAATTGCGTTGAAAACTAGACTTGAATAGCTTTCCAATGATAGGTCACACGCCCCAAGAAGCCTCCTATAAAAGAATATGTGGCTGTTTTAATCCGAGCAATGCAATCAGCGACGAGGTGTAAAACCGCAGGGCTGGCTGGGCCTCTGCCCCGCGCCCACTCGCAGGCTGCTGCCGCTACTGCCAGGGCGCGGGAACCACCCTGTGGCCGTGGGTTTGGTCGAGTGGTTATCACCCACGAGCAGCCCACAAGGCTTTGTTGATTCACATCCTTTGACCTCGCTTACGAGTTTTGCCATGTCAACATCTATCGCCCAATAGTAATGCAACTTGTGTAATTTGTATTTTCATATTTCTTTTTTTTAATTATTTTTAGATTAGAATTTAGGATATTATAAATACTCCAAGGGATTAATATTTTCCCTTATGCCTTTTTATGCTTTTTGTTATTTTACGTTCTTTTGAGTTTTCTCTTGAACCCTAGTTTCTCATGACATCTCCATAGATTCTTCCATGGATGATTCTTGGGTTTATTATTTCAATTCATTGAGGTATTGTATTTCTATATATTATTTTTAATTATGTTTTATTCCTTAGATCTAGTTTTAATTATTTCTTCCATGTTTGAGTAGTTTATTTCTAGGGTTTGGGAATCCATGTTTATACAATGAATCTTGATTGATGTTTTTAATATTTTGATTATTAATTTCTCTAATTGATAGTGTTTTATTGTTAATCTTGCAACCTGATCAATTGTTTGATTAATTCATGTTAATAAGAGTTTGAATCGAAAGATCTTACTTTTAGAGGCTTCCCTATAATTAGCAATTCTGATTATGTTAGCGACCGTACTGTATATGTTAAATTGAGAGCATTAAGACCCAACCATAGGCTTAGAAATTACTTTAGATAATTGATTGATTCAATTGTAATTGATATTTTATAGATTTAGAGCTATAAACATGGTGAACCATAACCCTCCTCTAGATCATTGGGCCGCACATAAATATCAAACCGGGCCTAGTTTAGTAATTTGGCCATAACTTCCTCATTTATTCATCGGAATTGGGCATATAATATATCGTTGGAAAGCTCT